ACGCACATTCGTACTTCCCCGTTTTCTTTCTCGTTAAAACTATCGGCGACGCATATTCGGAATACTCGACCTAATATAATTTTTCTCAAATAAGCGATTAAAATGCATTGCAATTAATCTCTCTCGCTATACGATATTCTACGCGGTGTACAATGAAACGGTTGAAAATCTTTAAGTATCAATTTTAATTCTGCTTGGACTTTAGGTCTTTTGGTCGCTGTGGTTTGACATAATTCTCGATAAACAATCGCTTAAATTTATTTTGAACATGTATGACGTCTTCGCATTTATATCACACAATCAACAGGATTGTCATGCGCCTCAGTAAATTAATATTTAGGAGACGCGGTAGTGTCTCCGGCCATGTTCAAACCCTAAAAGACCTTAAAAGACACTACAAGTCTCCTTATCCTGCACCATCAAAGTCCATTTTTTGGGGGTGTAGAACTACTAAAATATAAAAAATTTGAATTGCACGTAATATAACCTGAGAGGCGGCATCGCCACGAGTAATTTGAGCCAAGAAGGAATAAAATCGGTCAAGCCGTTCTGGAGATACAAGCGGTCAAAAGTGACGTTTTTCATGAAAATGAAGTAAAGTCGTCGTCGTCTTCTTCTTCTTCTTCTTCTTCTTCTTCTTCTCTGTCCGCGTCCGCTGACGTCATCAGGATTTATATATATCATAATATATATATAAATCTCTTCTCACCTTTCACTCACACCTCCCTCAACTTCCACCCACCCCTTTCCCTCCCTCATACCGCCCACCACCCCAGCCCCCATCCCCACTCCACCCCTCTTTTGCCCTAACTCACCCCTCTTTCGCCTCTTTCACCCTCTTTCGTCCTCTCTCATCTCTGTTGTCCTTTTTCACCCTCTTTCGTCCTCTTTCACCCTCTTTTGTCCTCTTTCACCATCTTTCGCCTCTTTCACCCTCTTTCGTCCTCTTTCGTCCTCTTTCAACTCCTCTTCGTCCCTCTTTCGCCTCTTTCACCCTCTTTTGTCCTCTCTCACCCTTTTTCATTCTCTCTCACCCTCTTTCACCCCTCTTTTATTCCCCTCTCACCCCCTTTCGTCCTCTTTCACCCTCTTTCGTCCTCTTTCACCCTCTTTCGTCCTCTCACCCTCTTTCACCCTGTTTCGTCTTCTTTCACCCTCTTTCATTCCCTCTCACCCTCTTTCGTCCTCTTTCACCCTCTTTCGTCCTCTTTCACTCTCTTTCGTCCTCTCTCACCCTCTTTCACCCTCTTTCGTCCTCTTTCACCTTCTTTCACTCTCTTTCGTCTTCTCTCACCCTCTTTCATTCTTTCTCACCTTCTTTTGCCCTCTCTCATCCTCTTTCGACCTCTTTCGCACTCTTTCGTCCTCTCTCACCCTCTTTCGTCCTCTTTCACCCTCTTTTGTTCTCTCACACCTCTTTCGACCTCTTTCGTCCTCTTTCACCCTCTTTCGTCCTCTCTCACCCTCTCTCACCTCTTTCACTCTCGTACGTCCTTTCTCACCCTCTTTCGTTCTCTTTCACTCTCTTTCGCCTATCTCGTCTTCTCTTACCCTCATTTGTCCTCTCTTACCCTATCTCCAAAAAATCAAAAATGAAAAGGTCAAGCCATGTTCAAAAGAAGGTCCTCAAAAATTTAAACCTAGTCTGTACAATAAAAATAATTACTCGTAATTCCAGAGTTCCAATTTGTTAATATCGAATAATGTATTTGTTTCAAGTAATGGCAGTAGAGTCAAATACATACCTACGTATATGCAGTTTTTGCTGTTAATTGTACTTGAACGAAAAAAATAATTAAATGATTTAAATATAGCACATTTTAAATCAAGAAACTTATATCCTAAAAAATTAAGGTCAGGCCATGTTCAAAAGAAAGTACTCAAAATTTAAACGATCTAATAATAAATTATCACGAAAAGTAACTGATATGTTATTCAAGGTGCCAGTTCAAAGTGAACATACGTAAAGTGTATATTATCTAAATTTAGTAATAATATATTACCATGAAAAGTAACTGTGATATTTTATTCAAGGTGCAAGTTCACATTGAATATACATACATATAAGTAAAACTGATTACAATTTGATTCTAGAAAATAAGTGCGATATGTTATTCTTAGTGCACAAAATATAATAGTCGTTTATAGAGATTTGATTTGAAATTCATACTAGCCCGTACAATGAAAAATAATTACTCGTAATTCCAGAGTACCAATTTGTTAATGACTCAGAAAAATAACATGGCGGCCTGCTCTCATAACGTGTAAAATGTTTCGCCAACGTTGTACGATACGGTAATAAGTGATCAGAATCATAAACATAACTCGTATTGCATGCGTACGAAAAAAACGGAAACTAATATATACAGAAAGTGTCGGTTCGATTTTCCTCGGCCAGTTACTGAGAATTTCGTTTTAAGAGACGTTATCACTTCGATAGTCGGAGAAACCGATAGAAAAAATTTACGCAGTAAGAGCAGATTGTACGATCTTCCTCGCAAGGAGTCGAAATGTTTATAAATGATTATAATCCGTCTATCAAATTAGCTTGGGAGGGAAATATGGACATACAATTTATTAGAGAAAAATCAGAGCTTTTAAACTCATATTTAACAAAATACACGACAAAGTCGGAAAAATGCAATACAGACTTTGACGTGATAGATTCGAATAAGTCCTTGGCATCGAAACTGTGGAATTTTGCAATGCGTTCATTAAATAACAGAGAATGCGGTGCTTTAGAAGCTGCGGATACACTATTAGGGAATCCCTTGTACGGTACGGATAATGATACCATGGTCAAATGGATCGATGTTAATGATGTGAGAAATAGAAAAGTTAAAACATTTAATGAAATTTAAGCTTTCAATGAAAATTCTACGAATATTTACTGTTCGTCACTTATCGATGATTACTATCCAAATAGACCTCAGGAATTAGAATCATTGAATTTGTGCGATTTTGCCAGATTCTGGGAAATTACGAAACAGATGTCAAATAATGACAAAGTCAAGTGTTACAAACTGGCATCGGGTTTATTTTTAAAAAAACGAAAAAAGGGTTATTTAATTAACCATTATCGATTTAATATAAAAACTGAGCCCGAAAAATACTTTTACTCGCTGCTTCTTCTGTTCAAACCATGGAGAGATTTGAGTGAACTCAAAGGTACATTCGAGACTTACACGGATGCCTTTAAGAATTCAGAGTCTGTTTTAACGAAGGCAATGAAATATCACGAAAGGCTCGAAGAAATACAGAAAGCTTTTGAGAACGTTGCTGAATTAATCGAGAAGCGCGAAAATGATCTGAAAACAGCAGACAGAGACAAATCCGATGATGATGAACTGGATTGTAATCCGATAGAAGCTGACGACGCGATGAAAGATCTGGAAGATTTTGGTAAAATTGACGACCCGATTGATTTATCGCAAATGATGTCGCAATTGAACAAAGACCAGAAAAGAGTCTTTGATGGAGTATGCCAAGTTTTACAAGATAAGAATCAGATTCTGCGACTGTACGTAAGTGGCGAGGGTGGTACAGGGAAAAGTTTTCTAATTGAAACGATTAAACATTGGATCAGAATAAATTTGGAAAAAACGACTGCCATATCTGCTCCCACGGGTATCGCAGCATTCAATATCGATGGCTTGACAATCCATAGAATGTTTCAACTACCGGTTAGTCATGAATCTACACCAAAATATACGCAATTGTCAGACATGGTCTTGAAAACTTTGAGAGACAAATTAAAGAATGTCGAATTATTTATAATCGAAGGAATTACATGTAACAATGCAATGATGGATTTAGGAACGACTGTATTTAGTGATGGTCAAGCCTATGTAGGTTTGTCACGAGTAAGTAAATTGGAAGGCCTACATTTGATTAATTTCAATCCAGCATCAGTTAAAGCAAACTCGAGAGCCATTGTAGAATATAATCGACTGAGATCTATATTCAAATCTGAACTGCCACAAATCAATCCGTCCGAGAAAAAGGTTGCGAAAATGTACGATCGTCGATGGGATATCCCTAATATCATTGATGATATGCAGAATTATGATTGTGAGGAACCAGAAAGTATAGTTACGTGGAAAATATATGGCCTTTGCAATAACGATGCTGTTTCGTGTTACGCTAATGTAATATTACAATGTGCGTTTCATTGCGTACGTATTAGGCAACAAATACTGAAAAATAAAGCATTGAATGCATTGATTGATGCTATCTGCGCGTATGGTGAACGTAAATATTGCAACATTCAAGCGGTTAGAAGATCTGTCGGAAAACGCTTCGAAGGACGAACACAACAAAATGTTTCGGAATTTTTTACGGCTCTAATGTCGACGTATTCCGACATCAATGATGTATTAAAACTCGAATTAAAGCACGTAACATGTTGCTCGAATGTCAAATGTAATTACAATGTAACTAAGCTAGAAAGCAGTAGTTTGTTAATATTACCTATACATTCGACATTAAAAAGGAAAAAAGGTGTCACTCTACAAAGTTTGATTAATGTAGAATTTTCTAAATGGGAAACGATAAACGGCAATTGTAACGAATGTAAGGGCACCGTGTTGAAAAGAAAACCGTAATCGAATCAACTTTATCCGTCGTAGTAATACAGCTCAATTTATATACTTTTGTAAACGGTGTTTGTTCGTGGGACTCCACGTAATCAAGTAAATAATAGACTGTATAACTTTGGTTTTATTTGGCACAAAAAAAAATGAGTAAATTTACAGTAATGAATAAAACACAAGTAAGAATAAAGCCTGATTAAGATTATAAACTAAATAATAATGTCACTATAGAAAATAAATTCACCAGGGTTCGTAATCGCGGATCACTCGCTCGTTAACGTTTCGGGTCTCTCGGACGACTGACTGGTCGGAGCGCTTAGGCATTTCACCCAAAAACGGGGCAAGCGTGCCTCGCAGTGAAGATCACGACGTGCCCACGCTTGAGAGTCGTACAGTATCACGCGCCTATCATGCCGAATAACAGTTCGGACGGACTCCGAACATTCCGCCCGCCTCCGTCGTCCTCGACGGAAGAAGTGGCCACTGGTCCGCTGAACTCAAGGTGTCTTCCCCTTGTCGTCCTCGGTGGGTAGCCTCACCAATTTGACCAGAGGCCTCGTGAGGGTGGAATCCGCGGTGCGGACCTGTGCAACTCTCACGCGACCGTCTGGTCCGGGGTGTAGCGCTAAAATCCGCGCCATCATCCAGCGCGACGGTGGGAGTCGCTCGTCCCGGACGACGACGAGCTCGCCGACTCGGGGAGCCTCGGTCTCCTTGGTCCATTTTCCCCTCGCCTGGAGGGTATGTAGGTAGTCTCGCGACCAACGAGACCACAGGTGCTCGGTCAACTGCTGGAGAAACTGCCATCTGGAGAGTCGTCCCTTGTTGACACCCTCCAGGCTCGGTTCCGGAACGCTGACCAGCGGCCTGCCGATCAGGAAATGTCCCGGAGTCAACGCGCTGAGGTCGTCCGGATCGTCCGATATGGCGTGTAGAGGCCTCGAATTGAGACACGCCTCGACTCGTGCCAAGAAGGTGCCAAGCTCCTCGAATGTTAGGGTGTGTTTTCCGACGACTCGGCGGAGGTTTGACCAATTTGACCCCGGCTTCCCAGATCCCGCCAAAGTGGGGCGTCGCCGGCGGTTGAAATCGCCATTCCGTGCCGTCGTTCGCCAGTGCTTTCGCGATGGGGCCTCCTTCTGCACCAGCGGCCTTGAGGGCCGTCCGCAGCTCCCGATCGGCTCCAACGAATGTCGTGCCCTGATCACTGTATACGACGGCCGGTACGCCGCGTCTGGCGGCGAAGCGATGGAACGCCGCAAGGAAGGCCGAGGTCGAATAGTCGCTCACCAGCTCTAGGTGCATCGCGCGGGTCACAAAGCACACGAAAACCGCGATGTACCCCTTGCAACTGCGGTGTCCTCGCCCCTTGGTCGTCCGCACGCCGATAGGACCAGCATAGTCGACCCCGCACGTGGAGAACGGGGGAGCCGGCGTCACCCTGGTCGCCGGCAAGGGCGCCATGAGAGGCTGGAACGGGGCGGCCCTATGCCGCACGCACGTAACACAGCGATGAAGAATGCCACGGACCAGGCTGCGACCCGCCGGTATCCAGAAGTTCCTCCGCAGGTTTGCCAAGGTCATCTGAACCCCGCCGTGGTAAACCCTCAGATGCGCGTTTCTCACCAAGAGTTCTGTAAGGCGATCGAATCTCGGCAGTATAACTGGATGGTTCTCCTCCTGCAACTGACGTGAATGTCGCAGCCGACCACCGACGCGCAGCAACCCATCCTCGTCGAGGTGCGGCTGCAGCGGCGTCAGTGGGCTGCGTTGATTGATAACGGCACCTCTCCTTAGCCGAGACAGCTCGACTGGAAAGTGCTTCTGCTGCGCGACGCGCAGCAGGGTGTCTCTCGCGGCTCGGAGCTCCGAGGCCGCGAGAGCCCTGGTGACTGGTCGGAATTTGCGCAGGAAGCGTAGCACGTACGCCACGCTACGCAATGCTCGACCGTAAGTGGAGAACCGGGTGAGGAAGTCCTCCTCCTCCGTCTGGACCGCGATGTGCACAACTCGGCGCTCCTCCGGCGGCTCGGCTCTGGTGTCCAAGGGAGTCGCGGGCCACTCCTCGACGGGTCGCGTCAGCCAACGCGGGCCATTCCACCAGATTTGATGCATCCCTAGGTCACGCGGCATCAATCCCCGCGACGCGCAGTCCGCCGGGTTGTCCTCCGTCGGAACGTGGCGCCAAACCGCTCCCGGGATAGCCTCGTGAATGGCCGCGACGCGGTTGGCGACGTAGGTTTGCCACTTCGAGGGGTGTCCACGCAGCCATGCAAGCACGATCGTCGCGTCCGTCCAGACGTGGATTGAGGTCACCGGAATGCAGTCCCGCACTGACGCCAAGAGTCTAGCCAGTAGGTGCGCTCCGCACAGCTCGAGTCTCGGCAAGGTGACCCTCTTCGCGGGCGCCACCTTGCTTTTGGCCAGAATCAGACCCACGGTAGCCGGTCCACCCGGGTGTAAGATCCGCAAGTACGCGACGGCAGCGTATGCCCGCTTTGACGCATCGCAAAATCCGTGGAGTTCTACGCGCTCCGCCTGGTGAGACCAGCCCAGCCATCATGGCACCGAAAGGTCAGCCACGGCAGGGAGTTCCTCGCAGAACCTCCGCCACCGAGTCTCCATGTCCGGCGAGACGTCTTCGTCCCAATCCGCTCCTCGTAGCCAGAGTTCCTGTAACAAGATCTTCGCGACCACTACGATCGGCGCCAACCAACCGAGCGGGTCAAAGAGGCGCGCGATTGCCGAGAGAATGGCGCGTTTGGTGATTCTGGGTGGCACCGGCGGACGATGGGTAAACCGAAAGACGTCCGACTCCGGCACCCAGTGTACGCCCAGCATTATGGTCGCCCGCTCATGATTCCCGAGTTCCACCATCGCCTCTCGATCCTCGTGGGCGATGCCCTCCAGAAGTTCCACTCGGCTGGAAGCCCACTTCCTGAGATTGAAGCCGCCCGCCTTGAGCAGCTGTCTTAGGTCGGACTGTAACACTTTCGCCTCATTCAGGGAGTCCGCTCCACCTAGCACGTCGTCGACGTAGGTGCCGCGTCGCAGCAGAGCCGCGGCATCCGGGAAGCGGTCTTGTTCGTCGTGCGCCAGCTGCAGCAGGGTGCGTATCGCCAAGTACGGTGCGCTCGCCGTACCATATGTCACCGTGTTGAGGCGATAGCACCCGATAGGCTGCTCCGGATCTTCGCGCCAGAGGATCTGCTGCAGCGGCCAATCTTCGGGATGTACAGCGATTTGGCGGAACATCTGTTCGATGTCCGCCGCGAAGACGACTCTGTGCATCCTCCAACGCAGCAGCACCTCCCGCAGCTCCTGCTGGAGTCGTGGCCCCACCTGCAGCACATTGTTAAGGGAGACTCCCGTCGACGTGGGCTGCGAAGCGTTGAAAACCACGCGGACCTTGGATCCGTCCGGCGTAGGTTTGAACACGGGATGATGCGACATGAAGTAGCCGGCCGCGCGTTTGCCGTCGTCGTCGCCGACTCGTGTCATGTGCTCCCGTGCCTCATAATCGCGGAGGAACCGCGTGTAATCCTCTCGCAGGATGGAACTTCGTGCGAGGCGACGCTCGAGACGTAGCAGGAAAGCTCGCGCTACCGCTCTCGAGTCGCCAAGTTCAGTGCCGTCCGTCGCCTCCCGTCTTGGCAGCCGAACGATGTAGCGGCCGTCCGCCGCGCGCTGATGCGTGGCCGTGTACTGCTCGTCGCATTCCGTCTCCTCCTTGCTCCAAGGAGACGCGGACGGCAGCTCCTCGACCTCCCAGAATCGACGTAGTTGTTCCGCTACCTCGTCCTTTTGGCAGTGAAGCGAGCAGTCATTCAGCTGCTCCGATGCGGTCGCGTCGGCGACCGTGCCCGTCAGCAGCCAGCCGAGCTGTGTTGACTGCGCCACTGGCAATCCCCTCTCGCGCTTGCGGATGTCGCCCATGAGGATGTCCGCGTAGACTTCCGCGCCTAGAACCGCTTCGATCCCCGTAGCGCTGGTAAAGTCATCGGCGAGTTCGAGTCCTTGTATGTGCTTCCACTGAGTAGACGAAAAACAGACCGGAGGTCTGTAAGACGTTAAGCGCGGTAGAATGAGCGCGTCGAGTTGCCGCGCGTACGGATCTCTCGTCAGCGAGCGAAGCGCAACGGTTGTCGCCGCGCGGGCGAGAGCGGTCTCGGTCTCGCCCATCCCGGTAACGCGCACGCGAACCGAGCGACGCGTAACTTGCAGCCGCTGTGCCACGGCTTCCGAGATAAAGTTGAGTTCGGACCCTTGGTCGACAAGGGCACGCACGACGGTCGAGCGTCCGGACTCGACCTGCAGTTGCACTCGCGCAGTCGCCAAAATCACTGATTTCGCACGCGGTTGCCACCCCACGTGCGCCGCGGTCTGCGCTTCCGCGGCCCGCTGGTTGTCGGACCCGACCGGATTATCTGCATGCAGCAGGGTATGATGCGCGTCGTGGCACACTTGACAGCGCTTGGCGGATGTGCAATCGCGCGCCAGGTGGAAGCTGGACAGGCAGTTCCCACACAATTGATGCGCGTTGACCTTCGCCTTCCGTTGAGCGACTGTCATCTTCGTGAACTCGGGGCAGTGCAGGATAAAGTGCGTCTCCTTGCACAGTTTACACGGGAGCGGCTTCGATTTTGAGACGTGTAACACGCGCGCCCGAGACGCCTTTCCACTCTTGGGCGTTGCCGCAGCCGACGGCGTGGACGACGCGGAGGTCGACGGCGACGGAGAAAATGCGTGCAGCTCGCGCATCTTTCATTCGAGGAACTCGCTTAGCGTATTCCACGGCAACGGCTCACGTTCCGTATTCGTGAGCCTTTTCCAGTCGCGCCTCGTCGCGGTATCGAGCTTGGAGACTGTCAAGTAGACGAGCCAGTCGTCCCAACGTTCCACCGGCGCCCGAGGTGATGCAAAAATGTGCGGATTTCCGAGACCCCATCGAAGACGCGCTGCACTTCCGTCGTGGTTTCCGTTTTCGCCGAAGCAATGTCGACAAGGGCGGACAGGTGCGCGGTCACCAGCAGTCTCTTATTGTTATAACGATCGCACAGTTTTTGCCACGCGGACTCAAAGTTCTCCGACGTCACGCCGAAGTTTCTAATGAGCCTCTCCGGCTCTCCGCTTAACCCTTGTTTTAAATAGTGCATCTTTTGTACTGCCGACAACGCCACGTTGGAGCGCACAAGCGATTTGAACAAGTCATGATAACTGCGCCACTCGCCGAACGCGCCACTGAAACGCGGAACTGGAACGCGCGGCAATTGCACCCCGGGCGCCGCGACGCTCGTCGCCACAGCGGCCCCCGGCATCTCGCGAGTTACCTCCACAGATCGAGCCGTCATACCTTGCTCGAGCTCGTCTTGCATGTCGAGCAGCTCGCCTCTCTGCTGGAGGTAAATTTCCTGGACGCCCCCGAGTATGTCCTTCCGCACGTAGTCGGAGTCAACGAGTGCCTTCTCGCCCAGGCGACGTAACTCCCGATCGTTCTGCATAAACTGCTCCCAGTAACGATCGGTCAAATCAATACGTGACACTAGGCCGCCGTGTGATCGGCCTGTTTCCGTTGATTTTCAACGGAGTGGGCGATGTAATCCCGTAGCCGCGCTTGTTCGTTTAACAAATCTTGCATGGTTGGCGCTGGACGCGGAGGCGCAGCGGTGGCCATTGCAGGGCACTCACCTTGCACTTAAAACTGCACGAAAGAATCGTCGGATTCCTTGAGCTTGTCCGAAATCGTCGAGACTCCGCGACGACGTCGTCTGTCTCGGTGTACCGCGGTCGCGCGAGGAAGACGCACACAGACAGCGAGCAAAAATAAAATAATCGAGAGTCCCTACCGCTTGGCAAAACGGTATCACCGTGTGCACGCGTGATCCGCGGATGATCCGGCTCGAAGGACCAAATGTTCGTGGGACGCCACGTAATCAAGTAAATAATGGACTGTATAACTTTGGTTTTGTTTGGCACAAAAAAAATGAGTAAATTTACAGTAATGAATAAAACACAAGTAAGAATAAAGCCTGATTAAGATTATAAACTGAATAATAATGTCACTATAGAAAATAAATTCACCAGGGTTCGTAATCGCGGATCACTCGCTCGTTAACGTTTCGGGTCTCTCGGACGACTGACTGGTCGGAGCGCTTAGGCATTTCACCCAAAAACGGGGCAAGCGTGCCTCGCAGGGAAAATCACGACGTGCTCACGCTTAAGAGTCGTACAGTATCACGCGCCTATCATGCCGAATAACAGTTCGGACGGACTCCGAACAGTGCTTCTAAAAAAATTATCAACAATCGGATTACCGCCGTGCCGACGAGTAATATCACGATTAATAAAAAAAGTACAAGCTAATAAGCGCTATATTTCACGAAGGTGAAGAAATGAATCGTGGTCACTACACGTGTATGTTGAGAGCTGACACAAAATCGGAATGGTATTACTCTAATGATATGGAAGTGTTCAAGAAAAAATGGCCCAAAGGAGCACAAGGGGCATACATATTGTTCTTAGAACAGATTAAATAATGGCGCTGTATAAAGGCTGCCGTAAACGCTACATTAAAACATCAACTGTTCTAGCGCTGTATAAAAGTTGCCGTAAGCGCCAAAATAAAATATCGGCTGCTCTGGCGCTTTATAAAAGCTGCTGTAAGCGCTGCATTAAAACGAGTGCAATAAGTTTCTAATTTGACCTAGGCTTCATGACATTTCAAAAAGTATCATCCAGAAAAAAATTATCAGACAGAAATATGTATGTCGTGTTAAAATCGGAGAGACGAAGAAAAATATATGGTTGCGTTCTCACGAGAATGGGCGATGGAGGGGCCCATTCTTTATTTTCAATATTCATACAAGAATATAAATTCATTCTGTTGCAATTAAAATAAATGTGCAATGTATCGTTAAAAGTTATTACAATTATGCAAACATTTACATATATGATTAAATAAAATATATATGTATACTATAATATAATTATATATTTTATATATATGTACATATATACCATATATTTCAATTATTTTGAACTGTATTGCATAAATTGTTACTTATACAAAGTTATGTGATAAGAATCAAAAATACATATATTTGTGATACTTGAATTACTAGAAAGCTGCTCTATATATCTGTACTTTAAAAAGTAAGTGATATCCTAAAAAAATCATAAAAATGGAAAGGTCAGGCCATGTTCAAAGAAAGTACTCAAAAATTTAAACGATCTAATAATAAATTATCACAAAAGTAACTGATATGTTATTCAAGGTGCCAGTTCAAAGTGAACATACGTAAAGTGTATATTATCTAAATTTAGTAATAATATATTACCATGAAAAGTAACTGTGATATTTTATTCAAGGTGCAAGTTCACATTGAATATACATACATATAAGTAAAACTGATTACAATTTGATTCTAGAAAATAAGTGCGATATGTTATTCTTAGTGCACAAAATATAATAGTCGTTTATAGAGATTTGATTTGAAATTCATACTAGCCCGTACAATGAAAAATAATTGCTCGTAATTCCAGAGTACCAATTTGTTAATGACTCAGAAAAATAACATGGCGGCCTGCTCTCAAAAAACTTTCGATGGGTAGAATAAATAATTGAAATAAGAGTTGTGAAAATTGTATAAATTAAAAACCTGCAATCTTTCTTTAGTAAAATTTCAAATTTTCGTATCAACTTCCGATTTGTGTTATACCGTATTTTCAGGGAGTAAGTTATTGATCAGAAAACTTTGCCTTGTTGCTCGAAACGGGTGTATATTAAGTAAAATTTATAAATGTACAGTTCTCAGGTCAACTACAATAAAGCTATACGCTTAAAAAGTTTACTGATTATTTGTCGTAATATACAATAAAAAATTACATATTAATTATTCAAGATACAAGTGAGAAATAAATATCATTAAAATATACAAAAAAATTTATCAATTTGACTCTGAAAAGTAAGTGACATGGTTCTCAAAGTGCAAGGTTTCATTTGACTTACAATTTTCTTCAGAAACACAGAAGAAAAAGGTATTTGTATATAATTTTGTATATTCACTTCGTTGTGTGTAGAGCTTTTAAAAATACGTTGAATCCTTATTCTAATCTAATCTTCTTCTAATGTAATTACTTTTCGTACTTCAAATGTTGTAGTAATTATTCTGTAAGAGCTTCGACATTATTTCTAAATGGACATCGAAAAACATCATAGTTTTTTGAGAGCAGGCCGCCATGTTATTTTTCTGAGTCATTAACAAATTGGTACTCTGGAATTACGAGCAATTATTTTTCATTGTACGGGCTAGTATGAATTTCAAATCAAATCTCTATAAACGACTATTATATTTTGTGCACTAAGAATAACATATCGCACTTATTTTCTAGAATCAAATTGTAATCAGTTTTACTTATATGTATGTATATTCAATGTAAACTTGCACCTTGAATAAAATATCACAGTTACTTTTTATGGTAATATATTATTACTAAATTTAGATAATATACACTTTACGTATGTTCACTTTGAACTGGCACCTTGAATAACATATCAGTTATTTTTCGTGATAATTTATTATTAGATCGTTTAAATTTTTGAGTATCTTCTTTTGAACATGGCCTGACCTTTTCATTTTTATGATTTTTTTAGGATTCATAATTTCCTGCGTCGTGTCCGATACTTCCGTCTTTGCTAAAACTAACTCAAATCTGCGCAACACATCGCGACCCAAAACAGCTGACGTAATTATAGTATTTTCGGGTACAATTAAAACCGTCACATCCTCTGCACAATCATTGCCTAATGTTATACGGGCCGTAATTTTTCCCACAATGGTCAACTTGGAATTATTAATCCCACAATATCTATGATCGAATTCGTTAATCGGATCAATATTCGCACCAATAATCTCTCCAATAAATCTCTCTTTAACAAAATTAACCGGACTCCCTGTATCTAACAACGTATCTAAACATAACATCTGTCGAAGATTCGATCCTTTTATTTTAAACATAACGTTTCGTCTAAAGTTTGTTTCCGCTGCCGGATCGTCGTAAATATTAGTAATCTGCTGTTTGTTTTTTTTTAGACAGTCGTTATAAACATGTCCTTTCTCGCCGCACTCATAACACGATCCTCTCTCACGCTTCGGTCGTGTACATTCTCGCGATATATGCCCTACTCTATTACAATTATAGCATTTGATGTCCGTCGCTCGTTGTTCGTCCGGCTGCCTCGCCACTCTCAACGAAAATTTATTAAAATGCTTTCCCGCTGATTTCGATTTGTCTCCTACACCAAGCTTGATACGATCCCTCGCTTCCGGCTGTATGGTGACTCTCCTAAAAGCTTCCAGCAACGCTCCGGCCGAATCGTAATGGTGAATGCGCGCCTGATTCCGCAACAAGACGTCTCCTATGCCGTCAATTAGATATTCTATTAGATCGTTATCATCTGTCGGTACCTGATTAGCCAAGATAAGTTTCTCATGATAATAATCAGCAAAGGTCTCGCCCGGGCCCCAAGTCCTGGCTTCGAATTTTCTTTGACGCTCCACCCTACTAAGCCGACAGTCAAAAGCAGTCCTCATTTGCTCTAATAATTCGTCCACAGTCATTTCGAGATTCTGTGATCGTGAGTGAAACCATTGGGCTGCTCGGCCTTTTAACCTTGAACTAATCAATATCTTAACCGAGTTGTCATCAAACTCATATGTTTGGCATAATAATCGAACTTGTTTTTCCCATTCGCCAAAATC